TTAGATAAAGAGTCTGCCCCACAGCCACCCAAGGACCACCCACTGGGGCAGGTGCATTTGCGGTTCTTTGGCTGGATGGCATTTTGCATATGACAGCAGAAAAAGTTTACTGATTGCGAGCGAGTGCGTCGTCTCGTGCCGTGCTGATTGGATGGACGCACAGAACGCAGCAACTGAATCGAAACATCGTCATCGGGCGATTTTCTAACCAAAACAAGAGTTCTAATCCGACTATGTCTAACCCGGGGCAACCACAAGAGCCAGAGACACCCAGCAGCCCGCGGGCCCTGTTAGTGCCGGCGACGACCCTCGTTCGCGCATTTTTAATCCGTTTAAATGAATGACAGTCTAATTGGAGGATTTGCAGCGAGGCTGAAGAACAGGGACAGGGACAGGCCGGGGCCAGACGGCTCCTTAATAGTGACAAAGTCCTTGCCATATGCTTTGAAAAAACCACATGTTATTCACGGTATTTAAACAAACAGCAACAGCAACAGGGGCGGGCGAAACGAACCACCCTCTCTGCCTCTGACACTCCCAATGCTACAGTTTTCCAATCCTCCCAGTCTTCGCAGTCCTCCAACCCTCATACAATTAGGTTCTCTACCCTGTGCCGTCGCGTCTCTGTCCCTGGCTTTCATGAAATCCAATTCGAATTTTTATTTAATGCGCGAAAAGCACTTGATTGGATCCAGAGCAAAAACTCAGTCGCATGTTTTAGTTCGTTACGTACTCCAGGGACAACACTCCACTTCGATGGGGTGGCAAGTGCAGGCTGCAATCTGTGTATAGGCGGCGTAAACTTCCACCGGCGCAGGATAAGCAGCACTCCCAGAGAGTGCCAGGCAGCAAGAAGCTGTTTCGTCCTGGTATCCCACAAACCACCAAGATTATGCGAGACAGGCAGCGCATTAACATCGAGGAGCAGAAAAGGTGTCTTCTGTCTGCTCTGGAATGAACGGTCCCTGCGACAACGCTAAAGTTGAGCCAATTACCATTTACATTTCGCTATCTTCTTCGGGTAATTAAAACCCCAACGAAAGACGCCAGGGGTCGGTCGGCATAAGGAGCACGTAGCGACGTCTAAGCTCTAGTCGGTAGATGATAATCTTAGTTTTTAATTTGCTTTCCTGCAAGAGACTTTCTCTCTCTTTTCCCCTTCTATTATCTCTGCTATTGTCTATTCTTTGTCTCTCTGTTGGTTTGACTTAATCACACTAAGGCAATTTCACGCCTTTTTGCGCTTTGTCTCTGACGAGGGGAATCACTTTGTCACTTGGCAGTTTGATGTATCGACAGGGCCCAAGCCGAGCCAAGGCAAACAACCAACCCACCGACCAATCCATCCATTCATCCCCATCCTCTACCCTGCCCTTACTCGAGTGACAAGCCAAAATGTGTATGGTATGGCACTAGTTTCAGAGATCTTCAGGGGTAGATTAGCAATTGGGTTTTTGTAAAGATTTTGTGCATCAATTTGTGTATCGAAGATTTGCGTTAATTTTCACAGAAAATATTTACTCCCCATGTGCACTCGTATGTGTTTGGGATTTTCACTTGACTTCAAATTGCAGTCACGTGTCGCATATGTGGATATTCAATGCAGGATAATCAATAAAAAAGCCCGAAATCTAATGTACTGGGGAAATTGCTTTGATAATACGATAATAATCTTAAACAGCAGAAGAGAATTATATTTAGGAAACAATAAACTAGATCGATTTTATCTTTAACATTTCGAATCTCTAAATCAAAAAATCTCAAAATCTAAAAGGTATGTTTCAATTTTTGAACTGACTGATTCTGTGAGCAGAGCTTCACTCTCCTTTCGCATAGCCCCATAATTAATCGCTCATTAATCCTATCAGCTTATGGCTTCAGCTTGAACTGTTCGCTTTTGCAATTAATTAAATATAAACTAAACAATATTTTTAATGAATGCCAATGGCCGAAGGCAATCATGTGTTAAATATTAATTTCGTCGACAGCCAACATGGCGGCCAGCCAGATTTTATGGCTCCAAAATGCATCCCATGGTGAGACAGAGCGAGAAAGAGAGAGAGTAAGGCATATATGGCAATAAATTTTAATTAAAAATGCATCTCATATGGAAAGTGGAACAATTAGCACCTGAAAATATGCAAACATTAAATTGGTGCTGCTGTGGCAGCCACAACAGCAACATCAACAGCCACAGCCACTGCCACAAAAACCCCACAAGAACAAAGTGCAACAAAAGAAGCGACATTTAAATAAATTCTACATATGTACATACATGTACGTATGTGTCTGGGGATGTCTGTGTAAACCTGCTCCACGACTGACCATAACAGACACATATTTTGTCCCGGCACTGGCCACATCCTCACATCCTGTCTGGCCGGACACTAGGGTACTGCCATGCAACAAAACCAAAAGAAGCCAGAGTGAAGGGCTTCACATATCGACTATAAGATGCCTCATATTGGATCACTATTACAAAGAGAGTTTCATTTTTCTTGCCTTTTCAGTAGTTTCCTTCATAGTTTACCTTGTCATATCTTTAAAAGTAAGCTTAAAATTAGAATACTTCAACATTTTTTCAACTATTTCCAAGAAATCGAAGAAAATTGGATGCATTGGCATTTTCAGAGATGGATTTTGTAGATAAATAGTGGAAAGGCCCTTTTGAGTCTTTCATTGTAAGCTTATTAAACAGATATACCGAACATTTGAAACTTTCCATGGCAATATATCCATTTACACCATCCTTAAAGGGTATAAAAAGTTCGAGGGAACAGAACGAGAGGGAAAACAAACGGAAAACATTCAAAATTTTGTTATTTTTGCTGTCCAACTATCGTTTCGTGTACACACTCGTATTTACTGGACAATTGAGGGGTTTTTCTATATAACTGACAAATAAATATTTCAGCTGCTTCCCCCAAAATCTTGCGGCGCTCAACAGTCGGCCACCATTCCATGGGTATGGGAAAGTAGGGGAACCTGGGAACGGAATCCTATTCTGTCTGTCTGTGTGTGTTTGGGGCAGCAATATGTAGAGGCTACGCGCAGCATATACTCAAAATCCAAACCGAACCGGGAGCAACAAATACTCGTGCAACAACAAAAAACATGGCCACATATTCACACAATCTCAATCTCGCTGGCGCTGCTAAAAAATCGACAAAAACAACCTGTTCGGAAACACTTGCAACAAGGAAATCACTACGGCTATCCATGCCACACAGAGGGTGACAGACAGAGAAGGCAGCAGCCAGAGTGAGAAGGCAAGAGCAGCATGTCGAGCCAGAGACTGTACTGGGGTAGGAAACGAGACCGATAGACACGAAGCGCCGCCCCTTTTTTCGAACATTACTCCACACACATAGCAGAAGCACAGTGGTGCAAGAGAATGCAGAAAGTAGAAAACAATGTACTGGATACTATCTATGGAAATGAATAAAAAAAACGATATAGCAAGCCATTCGATAATACTTTTAGTGTTAAATTATGTTTTTTATTTATTTTCTTCTACGTTCTTGTTCATCTTTGCTTTATCTCTATGATTTTGCTGTGTGTGTTGCATTGTCTGCAGTGTGTGATCCGTTTACGGTGCCGCTCCTTTGTTTCTTCTTCTTTCTGTTTGCTTTTCTTCTTTGTGCTTTTTCGTCTCCTTTTTTTCCATGTGTGATTTAAATTTTGCTTTTTTATCGGTGTTCAGGTTGTGTATGTGTATGACTATATGCTCCATCTCCCTCTTCTTTATGTTGCTTGTTGTTATTCTTGTGTATGCGTGTCGTCTTCTGTTTGTTAGCTTATTTTCACGATGGCGTTTCAATTTGAATTGTTTTTGTTATTTTCTGAAACAACCTTGCAAGCTCTTTCATACAACTTCTCAACCTCGGTCTTGCACTCAGGGCAAATAGCTAAGGGCAGTTGGGTTTTGGCACCCCAAAAATTGATCGCATCTATTTTTTCCTGTAGGCGCTGGTTACGTCCCTGCGTACTATTGATGAATGTTACATTTTTGGTCTCGCCATTGCAGTAGCTGCAACGGTAGAGTGTAGCTTGCGCTCTGGCGATGCTTCCCATGATAAATGAAAATAAATTGCAAAGAAACTCTGGTTCTGAAAATGTCTGTGACAGCAGCTTTGTAGCAGGAAAAGAGACTGACCAGGCTAGGTCAGCTGGTCCAGGGCTGCATTCACTTGACACATCAAAAATATCGATATTTTCATTCAGGGGATTATCGAATAGATACCGATGATGCGCAATTTTAATAAAATGTTAGCAGAAAATGAAACAAACAACCGAAACCTGCTACTTTATAAAGGAAATTCTACCAATATTTTCTATATGGTGTTATTCCCAATTAACACCGGATTTGTCTATTTTTTTATAGTTTTCATTATTTCTCAAAGAATCAAGCCATTGAATACGAACAGGAATCTTTTGCACCACTGTTCTATGCTCCATATACCATGTGGATGAAATGAGAAACTTTTTCGAATGAGCCTGCCCTGCTGCGGACGCCAGCCAACCAGGAGGCGGCGCGCCTTGTGGTGGCCAGCACAATAAAACCACAGAATATGTTTGTCTACGGCCAGAGCAGATGGGAACCGTAGGCAGTGGGAAGTTGAGAGTGCGACAGAGAGGGATGCATCGCCACGAAAGAGAGGCAGGATGTGAGAGAGAGACAGAGAAAGAGAGGCCGTGGCATAAGGGTGTCCGCGTGCTCTCCGGCAGAGGCAGAATCTGAACAGACTCCGTGCAGAATCCAGACAGATGGGCCGAGTGCCGCGAGTGTGCGGAGAGTTCTCCCAATTTGAATGGGACAATATGAGAATACGAGAATATCAACTGGACTGAATCGGGTGGTGGCAAGTTGCAAGTCGAAAGTGGCAAGTGGCGGGTACTTAAGGAGGAACAGATTGCGGGCGGGCAGCAGTCGAAGCTGGAAATTCGAATCGAACAGAACGGAACGGAACGAAGTCCAGACCCAGTGAGGAACGAGAATCGTAACGAGTTTAAAGCCAACTGAAGATGAATTTGCTCATGGATAGCCTGCCGTCGCATGCGAATCCTGGCTCGCGTCGCTCCACGCCGCCACAGCACACGGAGCTGAGGATCTCCACATCCTCGCCACACCACAACCAGCAACAGCAGCAACTGCATCTGCAGCAAAACCATACACAGCAGCAACAGCAACATCAACACCAGCTACAGCAGCCCTCCAATCTGAACAACAACAACAATGAGACACCCACATCGCCGCCTGGTGGCAAGACCACACTCAAGCGCGCCTTTGACGTGGCCTTTCTGATGATGCCCGACGAACGCATCAAGCAGAAGCAGGCCGAGAAACAAGCACGTCTCCAGGAGGCACTGCAGCAGCACCACCAACACCACCAACAGCTGCAGCTCCAGCAACAGCAGATGAACCACTATCCTACAGATCTGTCACCGCGTGGAGCTTCCTCGCAGCCACCATCGCCGGCGGCCATGGAGTACATCAGCCTGCTGGAGGCGCGTCAACGTTATCCCCAGCTGAGCATCCGCTCGCCGCGGGTGTACGATGATCCCACACTGGTCATACCTCTGGTGGATTCTCCAGAGGCCACGGGAACGGCATCGCCACCGCCGCCAATGCGCAGCGCCTTTACCAAGGTGGCCTCCTCGTCGTTGTCCACATCCTCGTCGCCTTCGACCACATCGCGCCTGGAGTCGCCCGTGGATGTGGGTGCACCTCCGTTGAGCCCCGATCATCTGAGCTGCCACTCGATGAGTCCGCCGCTGGTGACGCCACCACCGCGCACCAACAGCGGTGGCAGTGTGGGAAGTGTGGGTCCGCATGTCGCCAATCCCATGCCACCCAATCCCATTGTGTACCACAACTTTCGGCCAGAATACCAGTTCAATGGAGCCTTCCAGGCGGTGAATCCCATGCAGGCGCTACAGGCACAGCATCGACTGAAGCAGCATCTTCTCTACACGCGTCCGCCGGGACCGGGATGCCATCCCAATGGTGGAGGAGGAGGACCGGGTACGCCCTCGTCGCCACCGTCCGGTCCGCCAGCGGACTTTCTGCACGCCGCCTACCCGGGATTCGGGCCGCCACCGCATCCATTTGCCGTGTCCCAGCCCCTGCAAAATCCGGCAGCAGCTGCCATTCTCTCCACGCTGATCCCACCCACACTGGCCTCCACCTTCACCCTGACCGCACAGAACGTGTGCGCCAAGTGCAACATTAGCTTCCGGATGACCAGCGACCTGGTCTACCACATGCGATCCCACCACAAGAGCGAGGTGGCCTGCGATCCCAATCGACGCAAGCGCGAGGAGAAGCTGAGGTGCCCCGTCTGCCAGGAGACTTTCCGCGAGCGGCATCATCTCACCAGGCACATGACGGCCCATCAGGACAAGGCCAGTGACCATCAGCCGCAGCTGGAGGAGTCCAGCGACAACGAGATTATCAATGTGGTTGGAGGCACACCACCCGGACGACGGATGGGCGGTGTGCCCAAATGATCGAAGCATTTCTTCGGATACTTTTAAGAACCCTGCCCCCAATCCACCCAACAAGTCATCGTTTTTGTGCCAGTAATGCCCATTCTCTATTGTGATATTAATTTTAGTTTTTCCCCCTGGACTTTCTGTTTTCTTTAGCGTTAAATGTAGTGCAATTTGTATCTTAATTAACCCCTCCCTCTATGTCTATTAATGGTCAGTCTTTGCGGGAACCGAAAGGTTCTCTGGTTCAAATCATTGTAAAATATTAGAAATAAGTTGCAGATCTGCTAACCTTAGCATTCAATGTGTGGCTGAATGTTTCAATAAAAATCTAATTGTTATGCAAATCTTAATGGAATTTTTTTGACTTACCTTACAGAGATCCGTAGAAAATATTACTTCTTGGAAATCGAATGCGAATGAAGTTAGTCCAGCTAAAATTATAAATTAAATCAATTTTTGCCAACGATTCAATTTTATCAAATAAAGAAATATTAATAAACGCTATTGTAATATGTAATTCTAATTTGACGTTTATTGTCTGATAAGATCGATTGGATTTGCCAAAACAAAGTCGTCGCCGTGATGTTTTATCAAATATTTCCGATTAGATTCATGTTGCTTCGAATGCTGGAACTCATGCAGGAATTTGCATAGACTTTAAGCCATCAAATCAGATATTGCTTAGAGCCATCCATGTTTATCGGCGGCGAGAAAAATTCCCTCCACTCATTGGATACCAAACTATGATTATTCTCTATTTAGTTTTTGAGAAATCGCAGGACTGTCTATTTCCTTTAGCCTAAAAGTATCTTCCTAACACGACCCATTATTCCTCTTTGTAGAGCAGACCAAAAGCATAGGTTCCCAGGCTTAGAAAAACCATCCAAAGTCAGTGGCGGGCACATGCAGGGGCGAAAGCATACGCCATATGTGAGTGGAGTAGAGAATATGTTCGACTTGTTAGCGCAGTGAAGCTGAAGTCGCGGGTTCGCTGGGATTCGGATTGGGATGCGATAGCCGCATGCAGCAATTAGATGCGGCCACAAAAACTACGACGCCGACGCTAATGAGCTGACTGAGAAGATATTGGTCTGGGAACCGAAATGCGAACAAGGTGGAGGAGGCCTTGTAAGGCACTGCCCGGGGTTGTCCTGACCAGACGCCGCACAGTGGTGCGTTTGGGCATATAAGCTTGCAAAAATCATAACTACTGGAGCAATTAATAAAAAATAAAAAATTAATCATAAACAAAAATGTAAAATTCGAAGTATGTGCACAAAGTGTACTCTTCCATTTAAATAAAATAGAATAAACCTTAAGCTTCACTTAAACCGTTTTTGTATATTAACGGGCACATTCAATTACTAGTTTTTACTAGCAAATATTCACTGCAGACGGGCCCACTGTGACCCGTGTTTAATGCAAAGTGAAAAAACGAGCCGAGACGCTGACTTCCAGTAACCCATCATCAAGTGCTCGTGCAGTTTTTGGCAAAAATGTATTTCGAATTTCAATATTTCCACACTCATGCGGCAGAGAAGGGGAGACAACCCTTGTTGGGCTCTTGCCACAGTTCCCATGAGCCACGAATATGTGTAGCATGGCGAATTCCTACAAAGCGCAACGAATTCCTTGGGTGGTGGCGGCGGCAGCGTCTCTGGCTCTGTGCCTCGCCTCGGCACTCAAATGAGCCACAGCGAATCGCGTTGATTTAGCGTGGCCAAATCCTGTTAGCCCCGTGCCACAGAGCTACACAGCCACACGATTCTCCCAGGACGTCTTCCTGCCTTATCAACTGATGTATCAATTGATGGCATCGCTAAACGGCAAACGTTCTGCTCCGATCCGCTCTGCTCATTGTTCCCATGATGGGATTAGCATTTTATGGCTTTGTGTTCGCTGCTTGCCACTTGATAAAGACATTTTTTTTTCTATTCCTTGTTTCCCAGGAGGAAGCGCAACATATCTGGGGAATAGAATCTGCGGAAATTGGGGGAAGCCACAAAGGTCGAAAGGTTTGGAGCTGGAATGACTGCTTGGCAGAGTCCTTAAATCAGATTTTGAGACAATCTTCAAAATGTTACTTTATTATTAGTCAGTACTGCTAACGGAGTTCCGAAAGAACTTTTTCTAAGGCAAATTATAAGAACCGGAGAAAATTCCTTTTTAATTTTATTTCTTTTCTCACTTCCATATTTTGCACTTAAACTCAATGGCCGTTGATTTATTTTATGCATTTCCCCAATGAGCAATTCCAACTTCCTTTAAAAACAATTACAACTTCCGCCGTACACTCCGTCTGCCACAAGCCACAGCGCAGAGCCCAGCGCTCACATGGAACTCAGTTTGCCGTAAAGCAAACACATCGTCAAAATCACATTTCCTCATTTACAAGAGGCGGCTGGGAAAAGTACTACAAACCTCGGAAAGTAGAGGCAAGTGGCAGTCAGCAGCCAGACGGAAAGACAGCAGCCACTCACTCAAAACAACGCCCAGGGCAACCGCAACTCTGGCAAAGGCAACTCCACATAATAAGCCTCATCATCATGGTGGGTGCTACATAATAGCAGCCATAATCACATTTTATATTTATCACATTTCTACGCCCACCGAATGGAGCAGGAGCACTAGCCGGAGCAGTGCTCCCATCGAGTAGCGACCTGCGCCGCTTTGTTTGCCTTTCCTCCTTTTGCCTAACCTCGCAATTTGACCGTAAATAAATTGCCTGCTCATTTGGTAAGCGGTGGGCCTGGGTCTGGTCCTGGGCCTCCCCACTCAAACCTCATCAGCATTCAATGCAAAGAGAGAGAGAGAGAGAGAGAGCGAGACCAGCTCGACATCGTGTTCAAATACGTTTAAAACACAATGCAAATACCGTTATAATAGCACAGGCAACAACAAAGCGGGCAGTAAATGAAAACTGTGCAAGTCGAAGTATAAAATACACTTAAGGATGGAACATTTCTGAGGCAGAAAAAATTAGATATCTGAAGTAAAGTTATCTCAACATTTTCATAGAAAAAGCAAGACTTTTGATGAGCAACAAGGCTTTGTATCCACAGACTCTTCTACAGATCTGTAGATCTAGTTCCCTTTCGAATCACCCACAAATCTATGAAAAATCAAGACACCCGTTAACAAGAGCATAGTAAAAAGCAGACAGCTGGAGCAGACCCGGGCCCAGGGCCTTGGCTCCGCCTCCCATCTCCACCTTCCGATGCTGAACCCCGTAATGGAGCCCCTTGCGTGTGAGTGATTCCTGCTCATCTGCGCTTAAAAGTATGCAAATATTTGAGTGGGGAGCAGCCCATGGGGAGGCGTGTCAGGAGCTGACTTTTATGACATTGTTGTTGTTCGTTGTTGGCTGCTGTTGGTTGGGTGTTCGTGGCGGGGTGGCCTGCCAAAGTGTTTTTTAACTGCAGGCAATTTAATTTCCACTTGCTCCCAGGCGTTTTTAATTTCAACTGCCACTGCAATCGACGCGTCGTTGGGTTGTACGATTAGCTTTTGTAGGGCAGGGGGCCGTAAGTCCCTCGGCAGAGACTCCAGAGAGAGTGCGAGTCACTATAAGAGCCCCAGAAAAACTGACAGCCAAGCCGCTTAAACTTTGAACTTTGTCATTTCAATTTTCGCCAAACGGATGCGCTTTGTTTCAGGCCACACAATCACAGTAGAAGGAGGAGACACCAGCTGAGCATGAGGATGAGCAGAATGTGGCCGAAACAGAGACTGAAGCTGGAGAACTGGAGTAGTGGAGTAGTGGATCCGAGGACATCCATGAGCCGACCGGAAACATTGAGCCTGACAATGCGACTTTCATTTGCCGAAAACTGCGGAGGAGCTTCACTCCTGGCACGGCCTGCCATTGTTTTGCGGTTGCGTTGCCGTTGGCTCTCTGTCAGGTCCAAGTCCAGGATGAGGACGAGAGTCTGGGAGGCCCGGCCACCAGTCCAGGAAGTTTTTCATGCGCCATGACACTTTTTGTGCGATGTGGTAGCCATTTTGTACCGTGCCAGGATACCTTTGTGCTGTACACGAGACCCAGAGTTGGAGGAGAAAAAGCAGGAGAAGCAGGTCGGCTCCATTGAATTTTTCCGAATATTTTTGGATGCATGGAAGCTGTTTGCCATGCCCAAAAGACAGGCGGCGGCTTACCAAAGCCAAACACACAGAGAGACAGACGGACACTTCTACAGGGACCAGGAGCATAACCAGAAGCAGCACCAGAAGCAGAGGCAACATCCTTGCACATCCATGGCCACGTCCTGGCCGTAATTTATGATGTGCGCTTCCCTTTTCCAGCAGTCGCTCGCTCGCTCGCTCGCTGGCAGTTGGCAGTTTTTAGTTTCCCAGTTCTCGGGCCCAAAAACTCTGCGGCTGTTTTCTGCTGTCATAACTTTGGGTCGCATAATTAATATCGTAGTTGTAAGCCAGCGACGGGACTGACTTTTTAGTTGGACCGATGCACAACTTTTATGGCAGCTCCTCGTGCCTATCCTGCTGCTTCTGGTGCTACTGCCGCGTTGTTTGCTCAATTAACTTAGCAGGTAGTTAATTTTACAAAAGCCGCAACCCAACAACAGAAGATCCCGTGCCCAGAAGTGGCGTGTTTTTCGTGGGTGCTAATTGATTTATGTGCAAATGTTGCTGCGGTCTCCCGTTTAAGCTGATTTTAAGTGTTGTTCCAATCTTGCGTTTATTCGTTACTCAACTTCTTTATGTTTCTGGGTGTTTATTGAAACCCCGCCAGGATCAAGTGAGTGGAAGGGAAGTAAGCAATAAGTTGGTAATGCTCTTGTCTGTTTCAATAAAGAACTGTATATGTTGCCTGTCAGGGATTGAAGGGTGGATAAGCAAGCACCCTTGGGTAAGTGTTAAGGAATGATCTTGCAGTGTTCAGTAAGACGGGTCCGTTTATACAATAATTCTTTACCTTTTCTATCACTATTTACACCAGAAGATCGTATCCCGCTCTATTCTCTGTTTAACTTTTCTCTTATTCAATAGATTTTTTTCCATTTGAAAACCCTAGCTCCATAAATATTCAGCGAAGCCAAGAACCATTTAATTAAGTTTACTTTTATGGCTCGTAAATCAGACCCCAAACAACGTGGAACGTGGAAAAATATACGAATCGCGAATATTCCATATTCATGTGTGGATGTGCGATGGAGCAGCTTCCCATTCGTATTCCGTGAAAGGTGCCGCTGGACAGGGGCAAAAACAAAAATTCCCGCCAAATAAAATAAATGGCATAAGCAAACGCACGACGCTGACCATGTTGTTCGCTCCTCCCCACCCATGGCTGTATTCTCCTAATGTATGAT